GGCCATGACAACAAAAGTTTGATAGTTTGTCAGTTTGTCAGAGAAATTGTCATTACAACAATAATTCTCTGACATCCCAGGTATCAGTTGTGGGTGATTTCATCATGTTTTATTAAGGAAATATATAATATAAAAAAGATCCACTACGCATTACGACGCCACAAAGAACACAGAAATAGAATACTTCTAAGAAAAATGTTTCGAAATTATCTGTATTAAAGTTAACATTCAGAGCGAACCTCTTCGTTCGCAACACACCAGGAACTGGACAATGCAACGCAATGTTAATAAAAATATTTATAAAATGTTCATAAAATTGTTGATGGTAATTTAGGAGCCAAGAAATCCTTTAAAAGCAATCAGATTTCCTTATCGAGGAAGATTATCGTATAAAATAAACAATTATGAACAGCTGAAAAAAAAATTCGTTGGCTAAGAGATATTTTTGATAATATAAGAAGTGGTTTCTCTGCCACCTACGGCAACAAGGAGTTAGTTCACAGCACTAACGACTGGAATACTAATAACCGAACAGTTCTTTAGTGACACTTACGTACGCTAGTGACGCCGCTGTCTGCTACTGCTACGAACTAGCAATTAGTGTGAAGTGATGGGACAAAAAACACTTACATCACATTGTGTGATGAGACCAAGGCTACTTCACTTCAGAACTGCTATAGCAACGCTACTTCAGAACTGCTATAGTCTCTTATACACATCTAGATGTGTATAAGAGACAGGTGCTGGAACTTGCCCTCAGCTCGGTGCTGGAACTTGCCCTCAGCTCAGTGCTGGAACTTGCCCTCAGCTCAGCGCTGGAACTTGCCCTCAGCTCGAGACGTTGCATTTGCACGCATTTACAGCGTCTCGTGAGGCATAAGAACAATAATTTACGAGAACAATTCAGAAGAAGAAAATTTAATTTGCACGTTTGGTTTGCCTTCATTATCTGGTGCACTGAAATGTACGCAGAATTTCAGCTCAAGTTTTCAGTTCATCCAGATCGTCCAGTTCATTATGCTTATCTTTTTGCCCGCTAGCACTGATATCTCAGGCAAGTTAACTTTCTAAAAACACTATAATATTCAATAAGAAATTTTGCATTGATTATCTTTAAATATCAGTGAGCTTAACATGAACAAAATAATAATATTAAAGTTGTAGTCTTGTAAGTTTTCTCCTGCAAGCTGAAGGTAGTTACTTCAGTTACTTTAAGATTCAGTTACTTCAAGATTCAGTTACTTCAGTTACTTTAAGATTCATTTACTTCAAGATTAGATTACTTTAGTTCCTATTTCAGTCTCAATATAAAAGTCACTCACACTTCTCTGGTCTCAAAGGCTCACTGAATTTGTGTCGTCATAATTTTAATCAACAATCTCAACATTTTCTTGAAAGAATAATTAGCTCCATTAGAGCTAATTATAGTCGGTCGAGTTTTTCAATTCAAATCTTTATGATAAATAAAGAAGTGAACGGAAAAATGGAATCGTAATTTTGTGTCGAAGTTTTCGAGAATAAAATCATACTCGTAATTTTTTAAATAAGGTCTCAGTAAATTGATTCATAACACGTATAATAATATGAGGTGAATCAATAACATCTAAATTAAAAACACTAATTTGATCAACAGATGCGTCAATAAAAGCTATATTAAAAACAAGAACAATTCTTATAATCAATATAATGAAAAATAAAAGGTATATAAGGAATAGTTAGATTTTCAACAGCTATATAATTTATTTATGCTTGCCAGCTCCAGTCACCTTGACACAACGAAGCGATGCTAATATGTAGAGAAATAAAGTTTGATATCTTAAAGGTTAAATAAATAATTCAGTATATCTTATATTTCGAAACTTTGAAGTTAATTGTGCTTTACGAGATTCGCTTCACTTTAAATTAAGAGCATTTATGGCGAACTATATCATGTTGACTCTGCATGTACGTACGGAGGTGTGCATGTACGTACGGAGGTGCATGTACGTACGGAGGTGCATGTACGTACGGAGGTGCATGTACGTACGGAGGTGCATGTACGTACGTCAACGCTACTTCAGAACTGCTATAGCAACGCTACTTCAGAACTGCTATAGCGACATAAGTTTACATTATTTTAAGACTTGTAGGTTCGAGGCGTACAAATAAGTTTTCTAATGCACTTGAAATAAGTTGAGGCATTTCAATGTCACTCAGAGTAACAAGCGAGACTCTTTCTAAATAGTGATGCGTTTTTGCGCTTGTTAGAGTCAACTTCTATGCATATTTTTTTTCTATTATTCGACATCATTAGAGAGCACATCACTCATTAACTAATGTACAATGCCCTGAAAATACCGGCAATTAATGTTCCGTTTAACCAAGTTATCCCGGCAAATGACGTATCAGTGCTACGCGCGTAAAGTGTGTTACAATTCGGACAATATGAGCCTTATATTTTTACGAGTTAATAATGCCTGCGCATGACTTGGTTCTTAAATAAAGGCGCCGTTAATCTGTCAACGTAGGGAGGTAAGGATTAAAGTGTTAACGATTAAGGAAGGTAATGATTCCAGTTAAGGATAAAAGATGAAGTGAATTAAGGATTCCAGTTGCCACGCGTTTACCCCAAAAGAATAAATTCTGAGAATAATGAATGAATAAATAATAATCGGCGGCCAAATAATTCCATAAACCAGGAAGTAAATGCTATCGTTTAACTGTTCAATTCAGGAGCAATAATTACATACACATTCATTACGCATCATGAACATCGTCATGATCTACACCACAAGTATCGCTAAGTTGGCTAGAAAAAAAATCTGAAGCGTCCGCAAGACCATAAAAGGAGCCATAAAAAAATAGCCAAGGAAGATAGGATTTCAAAATCTCTGCCGTAAATTTTTCCGCATTGAGCATTACATTGAATGATAATAATCACTTACGAGCTCCACGCAAGATAACCAACCATTTCAAGGACACTTGCCAACAGCAAACGCAATAAATAATAACTGTACTATATACGCAGTTATTTATGTATGTTATCCCTGTATAATACTATAATAATATACTAGAGTCAGCTCTGACATTAATATATTATTACATATATATTGGCTTTTCGTTGATTCTTCACAACCCGGCCACCTCAACAATTTCGACCAAAATTTTCACAACAAGTTGCGGGTCTCGAACCCCCAACTCGCTGCTCCAACTTAAGTGATCTCAACCACTCTGCCAATGCTAGTTTCCGTCTTAAAATATTGGAATGCATTGGTCATTTTTAAACATTATTTACATTCGCTCTCATTTCATTAAAAAAATGTAAAGTAAAAAATTCAAAGAATTGCGAACAAGTTTACCAATTGGCTAGGCAACTTAATGGTTTGTGATTGTTTCAATATCTTGTTTAAAAATAGCTGATAAAAAAATACGTCAGCGATTTGACATACGCAGACTGCAAGTCTCAGTTTGTCCAACTGGCGACACCAATCAAACTACGTGGGTCAGAAGAGACTATAAGCATTCGTCTGTTATCAGCGCATTGCTAAGTGAACGAAAGACGCGGTAAACACTTCGTTAAATATATATAACTCTTTTTCAATTACATATACTTTAAGAGTACTTTCAAATTGTAAATTCCTGAATCTGATGAATACATACATCATTTTAAGTCACTACCGTATCCTATAAATGATTCCTGTAATGGCCTCCCACACTCACCATTCCAACAAAAAAAAAGGAATTGATTTTATTAATTAAAAACAGGGAATGGTTTCATGTCAATGATCAGGGCCCCGACCTTAACGCCTCTGATGGTGGCCTACACCGACTCCGAGGGTCACTGAGCTGTGACGCGAGCGAGGAGCGGGCCCACGTCGAACTTTTCTCTGACTGCTGTTAG